TTTTTTTTTAAATTATTTTTTTTAAAAAATAAAATATATTTAAAAAAAAAACAAAATAAAAAAGGATACTATCACAGCAACAAAACTAAATTCGTCTGGACAACTTTAAAAAAAAACAAAATGCTGTTGTAAAAACAACATCACAAAAGTCGGTGGATGATACATCCCATCCTCTTCATAACACATATCTGCTTAGGATATGCTCGATTAGGGCAAATTCTTTCCCTCAAACTTAGGACCAAACGATAAAATATGCTTTTTTTTCGCCAATATTTTAGAATTGAACGGTTGTTACAAAATCAAACAAAGCCTCCTAAACAAAGCCTCCTAAACAAAGCCTCCTAAACAAAGCCTTCTAAACAAAGCCCCCTAAACAAAGCCCCCTAAACAAAGCCCCCTAAACAAAGCCCCCTAAACAAAGCCTCCTAAACAAAGCCTCCTAAACAAAGCCCCCTAAACAAAGCCCCCTAAACAAAGCCCCCTAAACAAAGCCCCCTAAACAAAGCCTCCTAAACAAAGCCTCCTAAACAAAGCCTCCTAAACAAAGCCTCCTAAACAAAGCCCCCTAAACAAAGCCTCCTAAACAAAGCCTCCTAAACAAAGCCTCCTAAACAAAGCCCCCTAAACAAAGCCTCCTAAACAAAGCCTCCTAAACAAAGCCTCCTAAATAAAGCCTCCTAAATAAAGCCTCCTAAACAAAGCCTCCTAAACAAAGCCCCCTAAACAAAGCCCCCTAAACAAAGCCTCCTAAACAAAGCCTCCTAAACAAAGCCTCCTAAACAAAGCCCCCTAAACAAAGCCTCCTAAACAAAGCCTCCTAAACAAAGCCTCCTAAACAAAGCCCCCTAAACAAAGCCTCCTCATGTCAAAATATTCCCTACCAGCTTTTTTAATTGATGGTTTATGTCGACTGATTTGTCTTTTTTTGCTTGTGAAATAATACCTGAGATGTTCAGTGTAAGCTTGTTCAATGTAAGCTTGTTCAATGTGAGCTTGTTCAATGTAAGCTTGTTCAATGTAAGCTTGTTCAATGTAAGCTTGTTCAATGTAAGCCTGTTCAATGTAAGCTTGTTCAATGTAAGCTTGTTCAATGTGAGCTTGTTCAATGTAAGCTTGTTCAATGTAAGCTTGTTCAATGTAAGCTTATTCAATGTAAGCTTGTTCAATGTAAGCTTGTTCAATGTAAGCTTGTTCAATGTGAGCTTGTTCAATGTAAGCTTGTTCAATGTAAGCTTATTCAATGTAAGCTTGTTCAATGTAAGCTTGTTCAATGTGAGCTTGTTCAATGTAAGCTTGTTCAATGTAAGCTTATTCAATGTAAGCTTGTTCAATGTAAGCTTGTTCAACACACACAAATTGTAGGGGCTAGTGACGGAAGTTAAGGGCCGAGACAAAGGGGTGGGGTCTTTTGAAAGGGACTAACAATAGCTCACAGAGGAAAGCTATTATTGCAGACGCAAACATTACTATATAGAAGATACTTCAAATTAAATATATATATATATATACTGTGGGCGAGGGAAAAAAAGAGAGGGGAGGTATATTTTGCGGCTACCAATCTGTCAAAACTCAATCATTTGATAGATGTGAAAACTATTATGTATAGACTCCTCTTTAAAAAATTATGATTTTTTTTTCATTTAAAACAAAACCAATAACAACCAAACATTTCATGGGCTGGAATAAATAAAGATCTATTTAGAAAATACCCATCAATGAAAACCCACTGACCTTTGGAAGGAGATGCCGTAATATGGGTTAAGATTAGATCTATTGTTTTTTAATTTAATTTAAATTTTTAAAAAATATTTTTTACCAATGAAAAACACATTTCTTTTCACTTTGCGCAAAATGTACGAGAGGTTCATTTTATATGAGATAACAATATACTTTTTAAAAAAAAGAAAGAAAAAGATTTTTCAGGCGGGAAAATTGATCTATAGACTATTTTAAGAAATATGTATTTTACTCTTTTCCGAAAATATAGTTCAGAGGCGAGGCAAAGGGGTGGGTATATTTTAAAGGTGAAATCTCGATTTAAATTAATGTTATAAAAAAGGAGAATAGGTAAATAGGGTATTTATAGAAATAAAGAAAAATGAGTGTGCTCTTTTAAGTGTTTTTCGAAAGTTAGATATTTTTATAATTCAGGATGCGTGGAAATGGTTGGGTAGAGGATATAGAAGATACCCTGTTCGCAAAACCAATAATGTTAGAAAATGTCTGCTGAATAATTTCCAAAATATATAATTCAAGTTCAAAGAAAATGTTCATTAAATTACTTTGAGTACGATTTCTTTAAAAGTTATTCTATTGAAACTTTATAGACAACTTATTATTAAGCTTAGACTAGTCATTTTTGTGTGTGTGGAAAACCGAAGCTGTATAAAAGGGCAATAAATCTGTTATTACACTTCATAACAATTATTTACCTGGCTACTTCCCTTTGATTGCAAAACTTAACTTCTTTAGAATGTTTTAAATAAACATTATTTATTTAAAATAACTCCATTTCCTCCAAATATTATCATCAAAATACTTTGTACTTCTCAAAGTTGTAAATCTCAGTATGTTCTCTTCTACTTCTTCTCCTTTCAGTCTTTTGTTTTGTACCCATGCTAATTAGACACCATTTAAGTCAACTCCGCCATCATTTTGAAGATTTCCTCTTAATTCTCACAATCAAGACGCTGGATTATTATTACACTTCTTAAGCTGAGCCCTCTTTCACAATCTTCATTTTATTTATGCCACGAATTTCCTACCAATGTCCAACAGCTTTGCCAAATCAGCATAATTTTTAAACTGAAAAGCAGCGTGCACGAGTTCTAGAGAGCTGCTCACTGATTTTGATTTCCTTCTTTTTTTTGAAACCATAAAAACATGAACTTACTTAGGTAAGGTATTATTATAATAGCTGGCTATGGCCCCGAAATCAAAACAAAATATTTCTTACACAAAGAAGAGACCTCCTCTTTTCCAATCTGATTTCAGCTTTGTGACATTGACATCAAAGGGCGTCAAATTTGAACTTCATTTTCTGGAAATCTGTCTTTTCAAATGACAACTGACACTGTGAATAAAAGCTAAGATAGGTTTTGAATCTATTGAAACCCCCTTTGCTGCATAGTCCTTAAATATTTTAACCTTCTCAATCCATTTAGGAACTTCGCGAAAGTAATAAGATTTGGATTTTGTTGTTGTTTTTTGTTGTATCTATGCATCTGTAATGTCCAGTGCATCTATCAATTGGTGCCAATCCTATTGTCTGTAAAGCCTTACACAGGCATTCAAACTCTTCAAACACATCATTAAGAACTTCTAGTTTAAAAAGAATTTGTGGCTCATTCAATTTTTTATTTGTGAGGTGGTACTTTGCAATGCAATGGCATTATTAATGTTAATGCTTGCAACCTATCACTCAGCTTCAGAATGAGGCTGTCACAATTTCTTATAAGTTATAACCATGGGTGTTTTAACTTAACACAGCATTTTAATTTCCTTTCATGTATCATTTATATTTAGATCCCACCTGTCCTATTTGCAGCACAATGTTGTTGTATAAGATGGTGCATTTCACTTTTGAGCCATTTTGGACTCCCTTCAAGCTACCTAGCATAAATGAGGCCCTCAGCGTAGTTCGAACTAGAGATGGGAATCGAACCCTTTTAGAAATTCGGGTTCGGTTTGGTAACAGCTTAACTTCGGATTCGGTAACACTTAATAACTGCTTAATTTGGGTTTCAGTTCTTTCAACAACCTAGGTTCGTTAATATTTAGCGAAGTAATGCCAATAACTTTTGTTTTTGGGGGGGGGGGGGACAAAACAGTTTAAAAAAAAAAAAAACATTTTGGATTACATAAAATTAATTGTGCAAAATGGATTTTCTAATAATGAGCATTTCTGGCGAAAGTCGTGACGTTGCACATTCGTAAGTGTCGATGCTAAAAATTTTTCAAACGTTCGGATTAGTTCGTACTCAGTTCGGTAGTCAGTGGTGTTTGGGTTCGGTTCGGAAGTCAGAAATGGTTCGAGTGAATTGGTGTGTTCGGTTCGAGTACCATCTCTGTTTCGAAAGGATCATTACAATTTTGTGTTGACGTTATAATTTTATTAATTTCGATTTCTGTCAGACAATCATCTTTAAAACAACTTGCAGTTCACCTTCTCTTTTAATTTTCCATAATATTATGAAAAGTTATCAAAATTTAAAATTTGCTAATTGTAATTGCTAATGGACGGGACTAAAACTAGGAGACGCTGTGCGAAGTGCAGAAAACAGAGACGAATGGAGGATAGTTTTCATCCCATCTGTGGCGCCGAACGGTCCAAGGACTAAGGGACACGATGATGATGTGATGATGAATAGTAACGGACTAACAGTAGAATTTTTTTTTTTAAAAGTGTTAATTTTTTTTATTCTTGCGGAAAGTTATAATTTATATAAAAAAAATACAGAACATTGGGTACTATTGCCAATCAGGCCATTGTATTTAAGTTTAAGAATTTTACGAACTAGTAAAGTACATCATCTTAAAAAAAAAAGTAAAAGTCTGTGCGCTTCTGTTTTCTCTGTGACTTTGTGTGCGCAAATCTTTTTCAGCTGTGTTCAACCCCTTTTTTGTGTACGCACAGCTTACATTGAACTTGAACATTGGCTTGCAGTTAGAAAATAAATCTTAAAAGATTAAGAAACCCAGCGGTAGAGGAAAACCTGAAGACAAAATTGTATTTTTGAACAATCAGTTTAATATCACGTAACGAAACAGTCATAGCCAGATATGAAATAAGTTTTATTTCTATTCATCTGTTCATAAAAAAAAATAAAAAATAATAGCATCTACAAATAATTGTTTGAACTATGAAAAATATATTTTTAGTCATTCATTAATTTTTTAAATTTTATTTTAAAAATGTGTTAAGATTTATATTATATTTTATTATAAATTTAATAATTTAAATAACATAAAAATACAACTTGGCCTCATCCAACATTACAATGGAAGGCGAAGATACCCCAACTGATATCTCAAGTGTAGATATTAAAATTTAATGAAACTTATTTATTTAGCAGTTTAGTTTTATTAAATATATTAAACTATAATGGCTATATTTTTATGTATGATGTATTCAAGAAAGCCTATAATGTTATGAGGCAACGTTATTTGCTATTTTAATTTGATTGAAAATCGTCAACAAACTGAAAATGCTGGGGCTGAGGTCGTCTTCAACTTCTTTAACTCACTGAATCTGAAGTTGTAACGACTTTAAACAAAATCGCACTGTTAAGAATTCGGTAGCCGTAGATATTAATGTAAAAATTATTGTTTATTAATTCAGTTAAAATTTAACTGAAGTTACAATTGGCTTTCATTTTTAATAAATTTTGTAATATTGTTTACATTTTGCTCATTCACGGAGGCCGAGACCAAATACAAATCCCTACATTGCCTACATAAACTAAATACTAACTAAGTAACCAACTATAACTAAATAAGAGTAAGAGTGTAAGACCTTATAAATAATAAAGTATATTTATGAAAATATACCCCAAGGGCTAATTTGGAGAGATAGCACCTTGACGTCATTTGCTTGTTTTGTCCTTGGTTCCGATAGGCTCAAAACCCTGGTTCCTATGGCTCAAAAGCCTGGTTCCGATAGGGTCAAAACCCAGGTTAGGGATAAGTTTAGGGTTCAGGTTAGGTTTAGGGATACATTTAGGGTTCAGGTTAGGTATAGGGATACATTTAGGACATAAGTTCACAGGTCGCGGTAACCAAGATGGCGACCGCGGTGCCATCTCTCCAACTTTTAATCAGATTACATTTCAGTATTGTACCTACTTAGTTACTTAGCTTTAAGCCTACTTTTGGACCAACTGGCAAATAAGTTACTTGAAGCGTTAGGGTTAAGGACGTCTGTTAAAAATATGTCTAAAATGATCTCCTTGTTAGCTGTGGTGTTTCATGAAACACTACAAATTACAAGTGAAAATTTCAAAAGTTCATAAACAAGTTTCTTAAATATCACATAAAACATTAAAATTTCAATCTTCATCATTCCATTAAAACTATGATGCAATCACAGTAATCAAAGAAACTGTGTTATATTATATCCTTTTCCAGACTAAATCTAAACTCTTAGCCTTAAACTTAAATGTTTCCTGTTTGTATTTAAAATTTAATTACTGACTATCAAATGATAACACATAATTAATGCTATTGTTTTAAGCATCCATTCATAAGATTATTCTATTCACAATTCTTTCTGACTATATTTGAATTTCTTAAAACCCACTTATTAAATTATTTGTGTAATAATAAATTATTATGATTTCAGAAAATGCAACACCAGTACTTTCTGAAGTTCGAATATATGCCCTGTGATGAAGATCAAACTCATGAGTTCAAAGCGCATAAACTTCTAAGTGTTGAGGATTTGCCAAGATATAAAATTGAAAATGATCTAGGGCAATCAAAATGCAAATCTGTCTCAAGGTAATTAAACTTTTAATGTAGTTATTGACACATCGGGGGCCACAGCATATAAAGGAAAATAAAATTTCATGTCATTTTCAATACTAAGAATAAGGAAGGGTCGTTTAAGTATACAAATCTTTAGTTCTTATTTAATAATTGAACTTATAATTTTTTCAACATTTTTCTCTCAATATTAAAAAACAAAACCGTGTTGGCTCATAACTTGGTTATACTTGGAATATCTACAGATGTTTTCCAAGCTTGACATATATTTAAGTGGTTGCTTTAAGCCAGTAATCATGATATAAATTAGGCAGTAGCCTCTCTGCCCTTTATATTGAAATATAAATGCAAAAACAATTTTCCAACCATCCACCTCTTGTTAGTAAGGTGAGAACACCTAAAGGCTGCAATTTCATATTAGACTTAGCTCAGAACATATTTTTGTGGCTTGAAATTGCAAATTGTGCCCAAAAAAGACACTTTTATGGGGAAACTGTAACCTCTTATTTTTCTCCCTAGTGTTTGATTTATGATCTTATATTATCATCTGTTCATATATATATATTTTTTTTTTTTTTCGTTCTTTTTTTTAGTTGATTTGTTAATTTAGTGCAAGAACTATCCTCATTTGCCATTCAGGGACCATGCATTGCTTTTTTTTTTCATTTACTCTTCATAGTGTTGGCAATTTTTTAATTGTCAAGTTGTTATACATGAAAGGGATTAATATGAAGATGAAATAGTTGAACACCAACAGTATGATTTAAAATCATTGGTAAAATTTCTTTGAAGAAATATTAGTTATCTGCACAGAAACTTATTTGTAGTAGGCGTATAGTTTATTTTTAAGGTTACGCCTTGGTTTGCAGCCCACATTTCTGGAGCAGCAAGAAGAACTTTGAAGGAATAGATGTATCTCATTTTTAAAAAAAATCTTATGTGTCATATAAACATTCCTCTCCTACCTGTGGCTCCCAGAACCTTAACATATTTTTATTTCTGTATTGATGTCAAGAGATTTCAATGCAAATTATATGTCTTAATTTTTTTCTCTTGAATCTGTGTAGAAACTTGTGTGCTTTCTTGAACACTGAGCTAGGTGGAACACTTTATTGTGGAGTAAATGATAACGGCCAGATTAAAGGGCTTAAGTTTACCCAATACCAGGTTTGTATTGCTTGCTGCTTATCCAAACCCTCATACTTTTGTACCAATTGACATCATTTTGTGAAAACTTTAAAAAAACAAAACAAACCCATTTCATCAAGATGCTGTGTTTTACAGTCTACAGTTAGATTTCTTTGTTTCCTGTTCAGTAAACTATTCATTTTTAATCTTCAAGACGTGTAAGTTCAAATTATTATTAATGTAATTTATTTCCAAGCATAATCATGGCTACTTTTCACATAACTGATCATTTTTGTCAGTTCCTTTTTTTTTTTTGTATGCATTTATTTTATAGGTTTGACAATTCCATTCTATAAAGAGCAAGTGAACTTTCTTTGTCACTGCATAGGCCTATTTGTTGATTTGAATCATGCTAGTAATCATGGCTACTTTTCACATAACTGATCATTTTTGTCAGTTCTTTTTTTTTTTTGTATGCATTTATTTTATAGGTTTGACAATTCCATTCTATAAAGAGCAAGTGAACTTTCTTTGTCACTGCATAGGCCTATTTGTTGATTTGAATCATGCTAGTAGATTAAATGAAAAAACATCAACATGAATGTGTTAAATTAAATCATTTTTATTTATTATAATATTTTTCTATTACTCAATTTTGATTACGAAGTAAGGAATATCATCAGTCTTTGTCTGCACTTATAGGCAAAATGTGTTTAATAAAATTAACATAATTTGTCAAATTTTGTAATGCTAGAAACTAGAATGATTTCTACCCCCTTAAAATAGTGTAGAGAAATGCAAAAGTATAAAATTAGCTGTGTCTCACATATTATTTGATAAACAAATTGTTATAAATAAATCACATGCCCAATTTTGCATAAAGTGGATTGGTATTAGCTGCAAAGCAAAAATGCCACTTTCTCTAATAGAATGAAGTGTTTTGTAAGGCATACATTTCTAGAGATTTTTTTATTAAGATTTAGCATATTTAATACATGTTGATGTTGGCATGGAAAAGAATCAGCAGGAATTACATTAGCATATGGCCATTGAATCTGTGGCGAGGCTCTCAACAAGCCAACACAATAAAGTAGTCTAATTTAGACTTGTCAGTAGGGCTCACTTCTGCAGTAAATCTCTCAACCAGCAATCACAATAAAGTTATCCAAGCAAGGCATGCCAGAATGGCTCACTGCTGCACCAAAGCTCTGGATAATCCTGCTGTATACTGGAATAACATGTTGCTGTTCTTGTACCGTAAATTCTGAAACTTTATTTAGTGTCTTTACTTGTTTTCTACCTATTGAAGTTTACTCACATATCTTTGTCAAAATAGAATATACTCATTAGGATCATACATCTTTATATTTCATTCATATATTTTGGCCAGATCACCCTGACATCTGGTCAGCCCAATTTCAAAACTCTTTGACGGGAAACCACATTATTGCTAAAATGTGTTAAGTAACATCATTTATAAAAAGGATGAAAAACATTTTTTTCAATTATCTCTAGAAATATTTTCCATAAGATTTTGCATGAACCTTCATAATTATTTTCTTAATTTTTATCTTTTTCTCTAAATAAGTTTATGTTATTAAATGTCAAAGGCAATAATTGACATACAGACAAGTGTAAACGCCATTGATAGACTCACTAAGCCACCTGCTTATTTACTGTCCAATTTAGCCATTGCCATCTTCACATTCAAAGGATGAACAACAATAAAAATATATATTTAAGTATGATAAATATATTAAAAAATAACAACAGAGTAACAACCGTTTTCTGTTAAACTATATCTTCTCTACCAAAAACTCAACATGTTTGTGTTCAATTGGCACCAAAAAATGGTGGGGATAAGTGAGAACAAAATATATTAAAATAAAATGTAGTACAAGACACAAAATTTATCCCAATACACATGAAATGTTCTACGAGACATAAAAGGTTCTACAAGACACATGAAATGTACTACAAGACATGAAGTGTATTACAAGAAACATCAAATGTACTACAAAAAAGCCTACAGTATACTACAATAAATGAGGGGGGATATTTCTTTGATCTAAATTACTTTTAGTTAGTAAACATATATGTGATGATATACAGTAGTAAGAAATGTTCACTGCTCTTTTTTTGTCTGTATTTATTTATTTATTGATGTAGGCCTATTTATAGTAGTGGAATTTGTATAGAACAAATACAGTGTTAACATGAATGTGAACTGTTGTCAGATATTTTTATTCATACTCTAATTTACTTATACTTAGGTCTATTTAATTCAAATAAATGTGTGAACTAATTAGTTAGTTTCTATTCCAGAGAGACCATTTTTCTGGAGCCCTGTCTGACTTATTCTCTAGATACACGCCAAAGGTTTCTCCAGACAGATACAAACTGAGATTTGTACCAGTGCTACTACCAGACACTAATGAAAAGGATAGGGATGAACTTGCCATGCTAACAGCTAGGTGAGAGAACTTGATATTCAGTATCAACAAGTTGATTCAGACAACATTTGATTAGCTAGTGTTGTTAATAATAAAAAAAAATATGTCTTTGAAATAATTGATCTTTAAAATAAGTGGAACTGCTAATAATTTATGGAACATTGGAAGGTTGCAACAATTGGAAGCCTACTGAACCTAAGTATTACCTTCTGCTGTGGGAATTTATTGTCCAACATCAAACACAGATTAAATAGACTAATCAAGAAAGCTAGTGGTATTAAACATACTGAATAACTTTCATTTGAAGAACTATTTTAAGAAAAATGCTGTTTTAAAACTCAAGAAATTTTGGAAGATACCCTCTTCAACACAGCTACCTGGTTTCAGCTCGATAAGGGCTAATTCATTTCCTTAAAGTTAGGACAGAAAGTTATAAAAATTATTTTGTTCCCTATTCTGTCAGAACCTACCACTGTGCTTCCCCAGCTGTTATCAAATCTAAATGATCACTTATTATTTCCTTATTGTCACTGATGGAGTTAAATTTTTTTTGTATAAGGGGGAGGATTTTTACTCTAGAGAAATACTTAAGATGTCTTGTGATTAAATTGTTGTATTTGAACGAGGTTGTATGGTGAAAATATTTATTTACGTGCTGAAATAAAAAATTGGGGATTTTTAATGACAGTTTTTAGAAAAGGTACGACGTTTAGCCAATTTTTGATTTATGACAAATTTGTTGTTGTTAAAAACTAATTTTAGTTATAAAGAAAACAAAACCATCATGATAATTCTTTGTTTGATGGTTGGCTCCCTTTAAATCTCTGTTGGTGTTGAAATTGAAATTAAACTTTAAATGATGGTGTTTGCCTCTTACTCAAATTATTCTCCCAACCCACATTTTTCTCTCACCAGAGTTTGTCACGATGGTGATCTAACACGGGTTCCACATTTGTTCAGGTCGATAGAAGGCTGCTGGTGTGAGAAGGACTGCAGAGCACAAAGAGACTTGGTAATAAAAAAAATTTTTTCAAATGATCTTTTCCCATTTATTTTCTATTTTTTTGTTTTATTTGAATGTTGTTTAATCATAAGTCTCACATTTAAAAACTCTTAGATTATTTAGTTTAAATAATTTTTGGCTAGATATAAAATGTGTATTTTTGTTATCACATTGCCTACAGATGGCTGCAGTAGACTCTGGGATCCCCAGAAGAAGTTGATTTTATTAACACTATTGATTTATTGATAAATGGCTATGTGTTGAAGTTATTGTTCTAAGAGGATCCTTTGCTGAAAGATTGTACAATTTAAATGCTATTCTTTCAGGGCATTGGTATTTCTAGATACGTTATTGAGATAAATATTAAGCCCTGGGATTATGATGACCCAAGTAATGAAGGCATAGGGAAAGTGGTCAATGCTTTCCCGATCTATTCAAATGAAGAAGGGAGAGCAGTTTTTCGTCGGCAAGGAAGCACAACCACGGTATTTATATAATATCTATTTTTTAAGGGCAAAGAGTGTGTACATGTATGTGTATATGTGGATGTTTATGTGCATATATTATATACTTAAAATTATATATATTTTTGCTAGACATTAAAACCACAGTGTTGATCACCACAAATTTCTGCATGTTTATACCGCCAGACATAAAGATGGCTCCGGGCAAAATTCCTTCCGTCTTACACAGCATTTCTCAACCTGTGGCTCGCGACCCCTTTTCCACGGTTCGCCTAAGACCATCGGAAAATACATATGCTCTACAGTTATGAAGTAGTAACAAAAATAATTTTGTGGCTGGGGCTCGCCACAACACGGGGAACTGTATTAAAGGGTTGTGGCATTAGGAAGGTTGAGAACCACAGCTCTAACAGATGTACGTTTATAAATATAAATCAAGCTTGGATAGCATAACTTATTCTTAGGAAATGGCTCAGTGCTGCAAACCCATCTAAAAGATGAAAACCTTTTTTATATCTGTTTGGTGCTCAGATTTTGAATGAATTGGGATTTATTATACATTTCTATTTGCTAAATGAGGCCCTTTCTGGTGTTGTTAAAAGAAATTTTTTTTTTACAATAGCTTTACCATTGAAAACCACCATAGTATTTTTAATGATAAGAAAAAACTTGGTAAACCATTTTTCAAAGGTACTGTTCAGTGGTGGGCTTAAAGAGTGTGGAACATTTTAACAGAAAATCCTAAAGTGTAAGTGGCTGGGAAAAGGGTGGTTACATTTTCATGAATATTTAACTATTGAAAAACTTTAGGTTGCTGACATAAACATTTGGGACCTAGAGATTTTAGGAGGAAGTATGTGTTTTTTTCCATTTTGCTGTTCGGGACGCTGAAATCATATAGACACATTTTATTCTGAGGACACCTGATGATGTAACAGATGTGTATGTTAGCGTCTCCATGCTTATTAAAAATGAAATAAAAACTCCTTCATGAATACACCATTATATAAAATCCTGAACACTTTTATCTACTTGGAAAATAAATACAATAGTTCTCAGACTAAGATATGTAACTCCTATTCTAAAAAAAAACAACACTTCAATTGTTAAGAGAAATTTATATGGGTAAAAAATAGTCTGATCTTGGTGTTTGAAGGATGAAAATAATTCTGCTGTCCTGATTGTTAAACAAAGTAATGCAGCCTGTTGAATTCATGGTTGCAGAACTTTTAAAGTTAGCAAATCAAATATGATGCCATTCTCACAGAATTTTACCTAGAGTAATTGTTAGAGCTTTAAACCCATCAATCATGTTTATCATGTGCTTATATTTGTTAAAATGTCTATTTCTTTGCCATCCTAGTACCAGTTTGATGAAGTGGCCAACATAGCTTATTTTGTTGCTAATGCTAGATGCCATCAAGTCATTGCAGAGTGAGTAGTTACACAGTTTATTGAGAAAATGAAAGGACTCTTTGGCTCGGGTGGATAAATTTTCATTACGTAGTAAGTTTCCTATGTGGAGAAAAGCTTGGGTGACCATACCGGCATTTACTAAACTTGATATGGTTGTATGCAGATGTAGGATTTTAATTAATAGAGCAGGGTTTTTCAGATAGTATTGACATTGGTCTGATGTGTTTCTTCATTTTTTTGCTGTGCCATGTTTTATCACTGGGATATCTCAATACATCTGAGTCAAACATGAAATTTTTTTATTTTACCCAATTTGTATTGGGTTTTCCCTAAGCAACTTTCAAAGGCAGTGAGCCTTGTGTAACCCCTGAGTGATGACATATTGGATGTATCACTTGGGGATGTTTATCCCCTGAGTGTGAACCTATTGGGTGTATCATAAGGAATGTGTATCCCCTGAGTGGGGACATATTTCGTGTATCACTTGGGCTGTGTATTCTATGAGTGGGGAAATATTTGGTGTATCACTTGGGCTATGTATCTCCTGAGTGGGGACATATTTTTTGTATCACTTGGGCTGTGTATCCCCTGAGTGGGGACATATTTAGTGTATCACTTGGGCTGTGTATCCCCTGAGGGGGGAAATATTTGGTGTGTCACTTGGGCTGTGTATCCCTGGACTGGGGAGATTTTTGGTGTGTCTCTTGGGCTGTATCTCCTTAGTGAGGACATACTGGGTGCATCACTTTGACTTTGTATCCCCTGAGAGAGGACATATCGAGTGTGTCACTTTGGCTGTGAATACAGATTTTGATATCCAGAATGCTAGTTTGTTTTCAACTCCGCTAAGGCCAGTCCCAAGCCCTGAGAAGAGAGCTCCAAAGAGAGCTATGAAGCCTATTGGTCAAACCCAGGCTATACTGGAAGCCTCAAAGCCGAAGACCCTCCTTTCTAAGGAAACAAACAGGAATGTGGAACTTTAGAACCATTTATGAGATCCTGAGCATTAAATGACCAAAAAACCATCACCATCAAAGATCTACCAGAAAGGACATACCTGGTGCCCATTGATGAAGATATCATTAGGTGGTTAGGGCATACGCTCCGAAAACCCCCAGAAAGCACCACCAGACAATGCCTAACATGGAATCCACAGGGAAAAAGAAAGAGAGGAAGGCCTAAGAACATATGGAGACGTGAGCTAGAGGCAGACACACAAAAATATGGGATGCACTTGGTAGAAATTGGAAAGGAAATTACAGGACCGTGATGAGTGGAAAATTCTTGTGGACGCCTATGCCCCAGATGGGTTAAAAAGGCATTATTAAAAAAATATAAAAAAATAAAAAATAAAAAAAAGAAAGAAAAAAGTTTGTTTTTATGTTTTTCTCAATACTTAAAAATGTATTTGTTTTCTTGTTCTATCCTAACAGTTTACACAAGAAGATTGAATTAACAATAGCCTCAATAGCAAGCAAGCTGAGGACTAGAGGTAACAATGATTATAGCAAATACAATTGTGTGCGTTAAATTAAGTGGCGATATGTTTGAGGGGAGGGGAATTGTTTGCTTGTGTATCCATGAATTTCTCTACTGTTGGTTCAAACTGACATACTCATGGTTCTATTTATTGAATGGCAACGAAATAATCACATATCTAATGTGGCCACACTACCATCACATATCTAATGTGGCCACACTACCATCACATATCAAATATCACAAGACCATCACATATCTCATGTGGCAACAAGACCACCACATATCTAATGTGGCCACAAGACCATCATTTATTAAATGTGGCCATACTACCATCACATATCTAATGTGGCCACAAGACCATCACATATCAAAAGTGACTACAAGACCATCACATGTCTAATGTGGCCACAAGACCATCACATATCTCATGTGGCCACAAGATTATCACTTATCAAAAGTGGCCACAAAACAATCACATATCAAATGTGGCCACAAAAAAAATCACATATCAAATGTGGCCACAAGACCATCACATATCTCATCTGGTCACAAGACCATCACAAATCTAATGTTGCCACAAGACCATCACATATCCAATGTGGCCACAAAACCATCATATACCAAATGCAGCCACAAGACCATCACATATCTCATGTGGCCACTAGACCATCACATGTCTAATTTGGCCACCAGACCATCACATGTCTAATGTGGCCACAAGACCATCACATATCAAATGTGGCCACAAAACCATCATATACCAAATGCAGCCACAGACCATCACATATCTCATGATGCCACAAGACCATCACATGTCTAATGTGGCCACAAGACCATCACATATCTCATGTGGTCACAAGACCATCAGATATCAAACGTGGCCACAAAAGCATCATATACCAAATGCAGCCACAAGACCATCACATATCTCATGATGCCCCAAGACCATCACATGTCTAATGTGGCCACAAGACCATCACATGTCTAATGTGGGCCACAAGGCCATCACATATCAAATGTGGCCACAAAACCATCATAAACCAAATGCAGCCACAAGACCATCACATATCAAATATGGCATCTCTACCATCGCATATCTAATGTGGCTACACTACCATCACATTTCAATTTTGGTCACAAGACCATCACGCATCAAATATGGCCCCAAGACCATCACTAATGCCTGAAGTGCTGCTAGAGTATTTTGAATGTTGTCCTATGGTTTTTTCCCTTTTAAGATTTTTAGAATAAAAATAAAACACTGTCAAATAACAGAATGAAAAAAAAAAAAGGTAAAAAATTAAGGAAAGAGACCCACCAGTTGCAGGTCAGTTTCTATTACTGCTGCCCCCTCCCCCACCCCAAATAATTATTCAAAGCAAAACCCTGAGACTGGTGATTAAACACAAAATGTCTCTGAACACAAAATGTCCCTGAAACTGGTGGTTGGACACAAAATGTCCCTGAGACTGGTGGTTGAACACAAAAAGTCTCTGAGACTGGTGGTTGAACACAAAATGTCTCTGAGACTGGTGGTTGAACACAAAATGTCCCTGAGACTTGTGGTTGAACACAAAATGTCCCTATTTTTATGTACCTGTTTAGATCCATTGTAATTCCAAAAGATGTAGTGATTTTTGTGTTTGTCTCAGATCCATCTATTTAATGTTACAAATAAATCCTCCTGCAACAAAGGGTTTCAAATTTATTCACTCTCATCTGCTAAAACAGAGGTTCACAAAGACATAGATGGATCCACTAAAACAAAGGAGATGAAGGCATTGGATGGATCCACTAAAACAGAAGAGAACAAAGACTTGGATGGAACCACTAAAACAGAAGAAAAAAAAGACTTGGATGGATCCACTAAAACAGAAGAGAACAAAGACTTGGATGGATCCACTAAAACAGAAGAGAACAAAGACTTGGATGGATCCACTAAAACAGAAGAGAACAAAGACTTGGAAGGATCCACTAAAACAGAAGAGAACAAAGACTTGGATGGAACCACTAAAACAGAAGAAAAAAAAGACTTGGATGGATCGACTAAAACAGAAGAGAACAAAGACTTGGATGGATCCACTAAAACAGAAGAGAACAAAGACTTGGATGGATCCACTAAAACAGATAAGAACAAAGACTTGGATGGATCCACTAAAACAGAAGAAAACAAAGACTTGGAAGGATCCACTAAAACAGAAGAGAACAAAGACTCGGAAGGATCCACTGAAACAGAAGAGAACAAAGACTTGGTTGGATCCACTAAAACAGAAGAGAACAAAGACTTGGTTGGATCCACTAAAACAGAAGAGAACAAAGACTCGGAAGGATCCACTGAAACAGAAGAGAACAAAGACTTGGTTGGATCCACTAAAACAGAAGAGAACAAAGACTTGGTTGGATCCACTAAAATGGAAGAAAACATAGACTTGGATGGATCCACTAAAACAGAAGAGAACAAAGACTTGGATGGATCCACTAAAACAGAAGAGAACAAAGACTTGGATGGATCCACTAAAACAGAAGAGAACAAAGACTTGGATGGAACCACTAAAACAGAAGAGAACAAAGACTTGGAAGGATCCACTAAAACAGAAAAGAACAAAGACTTGGAAGGATCCACTGAAACAGAAGAGAACAAAGACTTGGTTGGATCCACTAAAACAGAAGAGAACAAAGACTTGGTTGGATCCACTAAAACAGAAGAGAACAAAGACTTGGAAGGATCCACTGAAACAGAAGAGAACAAAGACTTGGCTGGATCCACTAAAACAGAAGAGAACAAAGACTTGGAAGGATCCACTGAAACAGAAGAGAACAAAGACTTGGTTGGATCCACTAAAACAGAAGAGAACAAAGACTTGGATGGATCCACTAAAACAGAAGAGAACAAAGACTTGGATGGATCCACTAAAACAGAAGAGAACAAAAACTTGGATGGAACCACTAAAACAGAAGAGAACAAAGACTTGGAAGGATCCACTAAAACAGAAAAGAACAAAGACTTGGAAGGATCCACTGAAACAGAAGAGAACAAAGACTTGGTTGGATCCACTAAAACAGAAGAGAACAAAGACTTGGTTGGATCCACTAAAATGGAAGAAAACATAGACTTGGATGGATCCACTAAAACAGAAGAAAACAAAGACTTGGATGGATCCACTAAAATGGAAGACAACAAAGACTTGGTTGGATCCACTAAAACAGAAGAAAACAAAGACTCGGAAGGATCCACTAAAACAGAAGAGAACAAAGACTTGGAAGGATCCACTAAAACAGAAGAGAACAAAGACTTGGATGGAACCACTAAAACAGAAGAGAACAAAGACTTGGAAGGATCCACTAAAACAGAAGAGAACAAAGACTCGGAAGGATCCACTGAAACAGAAGAGAACAAAGACTTGGTTGGATCCACTAAAACAGAAGAGAACAAAGACTTGGTTGGATCCACTAAAATGGAAGACAACAAAGACTTGGTTGGATCCACTAAAACAGAAGAAAACAAAGACTCGGAAGGATCCACTAAAACAGAAGAGAACAAAGACTTGGAAGGATCCACTAAAACAGAAGAGAACAAAGACTTGGTTGGATCTACTAAAACAGAAGAGAACAAAGACTTTGTTGGATCCACTAAAACAGAAGAAAACAAAGATTTGGATGAATCCACTAAAACAGAAGAGAACAAAGACTTGGTTGGATCCACTAAAACAGAAGAGAAAAAAGACTTGGATGGATCCACTAAAACAGAAGAAAACAAAGACTTGGAAGGATCCACTAAAACAGAAGAGAACAAAGACTTGGATGGATCCACTAAAACAGAAGAGAACAAAGACTTGGATGGAACCACTAAAACAGAAGAAAACAAAGACTTGGATGGATCCACTAAAACAGAAGAGAACAAAGACTTGGATGGATCCACTAAAACAGAAGAGAACAAAGACTTGGATGGATCCACTAAAACAGAAAAGAACAAAGACTTGGATGGATCCACTAAAACAGAAGAAAACAAAGACTTGGAAGGAACCACTAAAACAGAAGAGAACAAAGACTCGGAAGGATCCACTGAAACAGAAGAGAACAAAGACTTGGTTGGATCCACTAAAACAGAAGAGAACAAAGACTTGGTTGGATCCACTAAAATGGAAGAAAACATAGACTTGGATGGATCCACTAAAACAGAAGAAAACAAAGACTTGGATGGATCCACTAAAACAGAAGAAAACAAAGACTTGGATGGAACCACTAAAACAGAAGAGAACAAAGACTTGGAAGGATCCACTAAAACAGAAGAGAACAAAGACTTGGATGGATCCACTAAAACAGAAGAGAACAAAGACTTGGATGGAACCACTAAAACAGAAGAGAACAAAGACTTGGATGGATCCACTAAAACAGAAGAAAACAAAGACTTGGACGGATCCACTAAAACAGAAGAGAACAAAGACTTGGTTGGATCCACTAAAACAGAAGAGAACAAAGACTTTGTTGGATCCACTAAAACAGAAGAGAACAAAGATTTGGATGAATCCACTAAAACAGAAGAGAACAAAGACTTGGTTGGATCCACTAAAACAGAAGAGAACAAAGACTTGGATGGATCCATTCAAACAGAAGAAAACAAAGACTCGGAAGGATCCACTAAAACAGAAGAGAACAAAGACTTGGATGGATCCACTAAAACAGAAGAGAACAAAGACTTGGTTGGATCCACTAAAACAGAAGAAAACAAAGACTTGGAAGGATCCACTAAAACAGAAGAGAACAAAGACTTGGATGGATCGACTAAAACAGAAGAGAACAAAGACTTGGATGGAACCACTAAAACAGAAGAGAACAAAGACTTGGATGGAACCACTAAAACAGAAGAGAACAAAGACTTGGATGGAACCACTAAAACAGAAGAGAACAAAGACTTGGATGGATCCACTAAAACAGAAGAGAACAAAGACTCGGAAGGATCCACTGAAACAGAAGAGAACAAAGACTTGGTTGGATCCACTAAAACAGAAG